GTGTGTGTGTGTGTGTGTGTGTGTGTGTGTGTGTGTGTGTGTGTGTGAGAGCCCCTATTGTGCAGCAGCACTAGCAGGAGCGAGATCACAAGGGAGAAGGTTTTTTTTTTTTGTTGCCATTTCTGCTTTTGTAACTTGGATGTCATCCTGTTTTCACTCCGAGTGGGATGTTGTCCACCATCCCGATCTGGGCTGTCGCTGTGGATCCCACGGTGCCATATTCAGCCCGTCTTCACCGGTGATCCGCCCTGACGGGTGCAAAGCAGCACTGCTTCAGAACATGTCGCGAGCTGGTGAAGAGGAGGTGGGTGTGGAATCGGGAAAAGGGCAACGTCCAAAAGCATCGCCCTTGCACGTCCCCTCGTTCCCACACGCTGTGACATCCGAGTCGTGCTGCCGGAACATTAAAACAGGTTGTCAAGCTGCCACCAACAAAAAAGAGCAAATCTTTTCTGAAATGCATTTGTCTATTTTTAAAGCGGCAGGGCGAGGGTGGGGGTGGGTGTCTTTTGGCTCGGGGACATGCTGCTGAAGCATTAGATGTGATTTAATCTCACTTAATGAAAGGCACCCTCATCCCCCCTCCTCCTCCTCCTCCCTGGTGTGAGACAGTTGTAAGAAACTAATGCCGGAATGCTCGTTACTGTCTGCCTATCTACCAGCAGTGGAGGTCACATTTCACTGCTCTCACCATGCAGGCCATTGTCACGGTCAGTCTCACCTATAGGTCGGCACCACGCCACACATACCCTGCGTCGATCCGCAACCCGGTTGACACGTTTTTGTTTTTTTTACTCGTGCAAACGTCGACCCTCACAGTGCAAACGCATCACAGCTACTTATTAACACCAACAGAGCACGTGACAGAGCACTGAACAACACCTGCACATGACCCCTTCCTCAGACAGAGCATGTGTTAAATAGATTTCAGACACGTTTTAGGAAGACGGTGACACCCAAGAGTCACAGAGCAACCGGACATCGGGCCTTGCAATTAACACTATAGGTACAGGCTGATAAGAATCTTCATATTTTGCCACTGTCTGAAATCAGACTTATAGATCTGTAATACTGGACTATCACTGACTGTAGTTTGTGTATCAATGTTGGCTTTATTTTGCTGTGTTAAATGTTGAAATATATCCAGCAAAGACATGCTTAGCGTATGCTGCCCTCTACTGATGCAGACATATTTAATGATGATACTAATAATAACCTTGTTTGTAGAGCACATGTCATGACAGAAATAAAAGAACAACGTGCTTTGTATTAAAATAAATTAAATACAATTTAATAAAGAATGAACATAATTTCAGTTTTACAAAATTAAATGAATGTAAAACTGAAATAGGAACGGTCCGACACTGATATGGGAATGTAGTTTGGTTAGACCACTTTGGATCAAGGTGTTTGACATTTTAAGTAGTTAGTTTGGTTGAGAAATCCCTTTTAAGTCCAAAGTTATGCTTGAGGGGGGGGGACCGGTCCCAAATACCAAACATAACCAAGTGTGCATTTTCTGTTATTATTATTGGTCTACTAACAGTCTTGAGTTAAGACACTGGAAATAAACCAAGGCCTTAGAACTGAAGGCTTTGTTAGTGCAATGGTGGAAACAGCAGCTAATAAGTGGGGATCAGGATGAATCCTGTGACAGGATCTGGGATTACATTAAAATGGAAGATAGATAAAGATTAAAGTAAAAAAGAAGATGAAATAGAATACATATAATGCATTACATATCAGGGGTCAATCCTCTGTCTCCAAGGGTCTGTGTTTGTTGAAATGTTTTGTTGCTCAAGTCTTTTCTATGCAATTCCTTGCTTGCTTTTTTGTCACCAAAACATATTTTTTCAGTAAACCTCCGGATGCACTTTTATTAAAACTAAACCTGTACAGTATAAGCAGTATTATATGTGCAATACAAAGTATGCAAACTCCTGTAGCATGTCTTAATGTTAAAACTGTTTTATTCATTCACAACAAATTAAGCTGACGATTACAACTATATACAACAGCACTAAAATGATATTTTACAGAGACGATGTCACGCTGCCTCTGTGTCGTCTTCAGGCAAGATGCAGCAGTAGACGTATGTTTGCAGCCAACCGAAGAAGCAGCCGACCCCCCTCATCTCTGCCATTTTGACCTCTAAAAAAAAGCAAAGGACCGTCATCGCCTGAACTCATCACACCAGAAGTAACGGTTAACCAGTGTGAATAGACCTGACGGCTCAGACACGAGTCGACATGAGTAATAACTCCTACCTGTTGTGGCGTTGAATGATTCATCCTGCTTGACTGGCTGCTCCGTGATGATTGCCTCATCCTGCGCTGCAGAGTTGACAGGAGGTTCATCAACGGGGATCACAGGAGGAGGTGGAGAGGAAACCACAGCGGAGTCTGGTTGTGGGCCGAGAGCTGGCTGTTCCTCCGCTTCATCCAGACTGTTGTTCAAACCATCGTGAATGGCAGCGGTGGCCACAGGGTCGGCACTGGAGGTCAGGTCCCCCTGCACTGCAGTGACGACGGAGGGCTCATCGCGGAGGCTGAGAGGAAGTGGTGGAGATGGCACCCCGGCAGAGTCCGGCTCTGGGCTCGGTGCTGGCTGTTCCGTCCGGCTGTGATTCGAGCCATTCTGGACGGGAACACAAGGAAGAGTAACGACAGCAAAGTCCGGTTCTCTGATTGCTTCAGTGTTCTCCTCCGGACCTGGCTCCTCATTCACATCCTCAGCTGAGGTTTGGGCCTCTGCACCATCCACCACGTCTGCTGGCTGGATGCAATCCTTATCAGTGTTCACATTTACAGGCACTTTTGTGCGAGTCCGATGCTGAAACAGCACGCAGATCTCTCCAGCTGCAACATCAGTGATGGCGTCCAGCATCTCCGGAACGAAGCAGTTGAGCCTCTTCACCAGGACGTCCTGAGCGTAACCCCGTCTGACCTTCTCCTGGATAGACAGGACCATGTCGTCTCTGACGGAGGCGACAAGGCTGAGCATGGCGCGCAGAAGAGTGGAGACCCGGACCTCAACGGATTTCATGACCCCAGCAGCCATTTTGCTGAGCTGCTTGGAGGGCAAGTTGAAGGAGGTGTTTGGAAGAGGCAACCAGAAGCCCTGCAGGACTTTCTGAACCACCTCCATCACCACCTCCTCCCGTGGGCCGAGCAGTTTGGAGCTGAGCGACTCCCACTGCTGCTCTGTCAGGCTCCTGGCATACTCGTGAGCCTGGCTGATGATTTTGGGATGTCTGCGGGTTACAGCCATTCCATGTTTGTTTTAAAAACACCAGCGTACTCTAACTCAGACAAATTTGTGTCAAAATATGACTCACCGAAACTGAGGAGAGATGGCCTCTGGTGACTTGAGCAGCCTTCTGGCTTCAAACTCAACGTCCCTCATCTTCATGCCGGTGTTCACCTCAAACACCTGAAACAAGGTGTGAGACAGATTTGACATATTCACCGAACAAATCAAGCGTCACGTAAAAGTCGATTCCAAACTGCTGTTT